CAATCCGGTAGGGACCCTTCCAATGGGGGGCCAATTTAGCACGGCTCTCCGTGGGGTCATTCAACCACACCATAGCACCGACCGCATAACCCCCATGGTGAGCACCCTCGTCATGGTATAATTTCTGTCTTTCACGGGCCTCCTCCAAATTAACCCGAGCCGTGCTAAAAGCCACTCTGAGTCTGCTGGCAAGTGCTGCCACAAAATCCGCCTGACTGCCTCCATCCCTGTGGTCTAATACCTCCCCAGGCACCAGCACCTCAGCTGGGACTCGCGCCTCACGGCCATGCATGAGGTAGAATGGAGTAAATTTTGTGCTGGAATGAACCGATATGTTATAGGCAAAAGCCACCTGTTTCACATAGCTATCCCATTCCCCACCTTGTGACAGCAGTTTCTTAGCCAACTGATCGATCAAGGTCCTATTATGCCGTTCCACCATACCATCCGATTTAGGATTATAGGCAGTGGTACGAGTCTTTTTAATCCCTAACAATCGGCAGAGGCACTGAATAACTTCAGCCTCAAACTGCCGACCCTGATCAGTATGTAAGGCCTCCGGGACACCATGCACCAGCACAAAATCCTCAAATAAGCAGTGTGCCACCGTGTTCGCGGTCTGATTTGGCAGTGCATAGAGGTTCACAAATTTAGTAAAATAATCCTCCACTACCAGCACATACCTGTTACCCCTCGTGGTCACTGGCAGCTCTAAAATATCAGCTGCAACTCTCTGTAGCGGACGGCTCGTTAGGGACCCCCCCATGGGAGCCTTTAGCTGCGGAACTGGGGAGCGCCGTGTCTGACACGCCCTACATTTATCACACCAGTTCCGTATGTCCCGCAACATGAAAGGCCAATAATATGTTTGCCTAACTTTTTCCCAGACCCGCTCGGTTGAAAAATGAGCAGCAGCAGGTCCTCCATGAAACTGTTCCAGGAGCTGGGGCACTAAAGCTGGGGGAATAACCACCTGTACCTGTCGCTCACCTGATGGGGATGTTACCGTCCGGCACAACAGTCCCTTTTCAATTGACAATCGGCTAAATTCTGTCCACAATTTACGAAGAGGGAGCGAAGCTCCCCTCAGAGGTTTCCGGGGTGGTCTCCGTTCACCTTTCTCGATCCAAACCACCACCGTGTTAATGTCCAGATCCTCTCTCTGCCATGACCTTAACTCCAATCCGTCCGAGGCAAGCGAATACATCCACTGGGGATCCTGAATGGCAGCCCCTTTTTCTGTCTCCCTAAGTGAGCTGTCCTCCCCGTTCGGAGAACCAACAGCCTGCACATAGCCGTTAGTATGCCCTGATTCCATGGAGCTGTCTAACACTGGCCGGCGAGATAATGCATCTGCATTGCTGTGGCGAAACCCCTCCTTGTGGACAATCTCCCAGTCGAAAGGGTCCAACTCCAGAACCCATCTGCCCCTTCTCCCTGTGGGGTCATTTTCCAGGACCATTTTCCGGAGGCCCAAGAGGGGGCGATGGTCAGTCACTATTGTGAACGAAGACAGCCCGACGTAATGTTTGAATTCGCGAACAGCCCACACAACAGCCCAGAGCTCGCGATCAAAGGTGGCCCAACGCTTCTGTGTGTTATTCAGAGCTTGGCTGGCATAGGCCACCACTCGCTCCAGGCCCTCCACGACCTGTGCCAAGACAGCCCCGACTGCCTCCTTCGAGGCGTCGGTGTAAATCCGAAAGGGGAGAGTGAAGTCCGGTAAAGTCACCACGGGAGGAGACGTGAGAGCCTGCTTGAGATAAGAAAAGGCCGCCTCACACTCCGCCGTCCATTCAAATGCCACATTTTTTCCACTCAACCGATTCAAAGGCGCAGCATGTTGCGAAAAGTTCTTGACAAACCGCCTATAATACGAGCAAAGGCCCACAAATGATCTGACCTCCGATGGCGTACGAGGGGTGGGCCAGGACTGTACTTTGTTCGTGTTCCTCGGGTCTGGCATGAGACCATCAGCAGAGACCACATGCCCTAAAAACACCACATGGTCTCTGGCAAAGTGGCATTTCTTTGGGTTTAGCTTTAGGCCCGCTGCTTGGATTCTGGACAACACCTCCGCTAAGTGGGAAAGATGATCTGTAAATGTCCGGCTATAGACCAAAATATCGTCCAAATACACCATGCAGATGTGCCATGGCAAACCTCGCAGCACCAGCTCCATCATCCGTTGAAAGGTAGCCGGTGAATTGGTCAGGCCCATGGGCATGGCTCGCCACTGATATAGGCCCCGCCCGGTTGTAAACGCCGTCTTTTCCCTATCCTCCTCAGCTACTTCCACCTGCCAGTAGCCATTAGAGAAGTCAAGGGTGGTGAACCACATGCATCCAGCTAATGCGTCCAGGCTGTCATCCACACGGGGAAGAGGATGGGAGTCCCGTACTGTCACGGCGTTCAGTTTACGGTAGTCCACACAGAACCTCCACTCTCCTCCTTTCTTTCTAACAAGCACCACTGGTGATGCCCAGGGACTCCAACTCTCCTCTATGACTCCATCCGCTAACAGCCCGGCCACCTGACGATCGATCTCTGCTCGTTTCTCCGGAGAAGAGCGATACGCGCGCTGTTTGACGGGGTGGTGATCACCCGTCCTTATATTGTGCTTCACCAGTGTACACCGTCCCGTGTTCCTTTTAGAAAGGTTAAACACATCGCTGAACTGCAGCAGCAATGCCGATAGCTCTGCTCGTTGTTGCACCGTAACAGGAGACTCATCTAATGTGACAGGAAGTGCTCGGGGTGAAGAAACTCCAATCTCCTCCTGTCCAGTCTGGGAGAGAGATGCAACATCAGAGTCCTCAATGGGGTAGAACTCCCCCACATGTAACCCCTGTTTTAATGTAATGGGACCACCTGTAGGATTGAGCACACGAGCCAGTGTGACACCATCACTCACACTGGACACTGTATGAGCCACCACTAGTCCTGTCGTGTCTGGCACATTTGGTTCCATATAGCCATTGAAGTAAACAGTCGTTAGGGGGCTTGCTGAGGAATGTAAGGCCACAGGGACCATGGCTTCACTCAAGGGCGGAACTGTCATAGTGGTGGCCAGGGATGCATTGCAGCACTCGGGGATTAGCTCTCTGCTCCGTAACAGGGGAACACTAATGTCCCATAACTGCAACATTCCTCGGCTCAGGTCTAAAAGTGCATGGTTCTTGGTGAGGAAGTCTAACCCAAGGAGCACAGCCTGAGTCGATTCCCTTAAAACATGGAAAACATGTTGCCAGGATGCAGGCCCAAGTTGAAAAGTCACAGTAATAGTACCTAGGGTGTCTAACCTTTGTCCATTTACTGCACGAGATTCAACGTAGTTTTTAGATAGGGGACGACTTTGTAGTGCAGAAACTGACGTACGAAAATCAGCGCTAATTAAGGACACACAAGCCCCCGAGTCCACCAGGATAGCTACAGCAGTGCCTTCCACAATTCCTTTCACATATGACGTCTGTTGATCACTCTTATGAGTGACTATCTCACATCCCCCAACCGAAGTGTCCGTGATCATGGGGCCCAAATGAAGGTGAGCTGATGTCTGGGCCTTGGCACCAGCTACATTCTGTTTCCCTGTGGACGATTGTCGTCAATCCGCCGTGGGGACAAGAATCTCACCCCTCGCTTACTCTGTTCATTCTCCCGTCTCGGGCGCCAGTTTGGGCTGGGGCTGCGCCTTTCACCGTACTGTGCTCGGCGTTCCTGCCAGGAGCTGCCGGCTTCGGCGAATTGTAAGTCGCGATCAGGGGAGCGTCCATCCCGTCTGTATGGTAGACCCCCTACTGCAGCTCTCAGTCTGTAATTCTCCTCACCTATCCCTTTCATTTCCATCCGAAGAAAACGCACCTCCTCAGTAAGTTTATCCACTGCGGTTCGAAGACCTTCATCCCTTGACACAGAATGCACAGCGGCACCCTCGCTAACAAGATGGCTGCTGGAGGGTGCATTCACATAGTCTATCTTAAGGGCCTCTCGTGCATTGTCGCACCGTCCGGCTATCAGCAGAGCCTCCTCCAGATCCGTAGCTCCCTGTTCGAGGCATTTTGACTTTAAAACGGGGTCCAGTCCAGCAAGAAAACGCCTAAACTTCTCCTCTCCCTGCGCCACACTTCCATAATGTGGGAAAGCTTCCTGTACTAATCGACTTATGTCGGCAGCAAATACATCCAAGCTCTCACCGGGAGCGCGCGACCGAGCCGAAAGTGAAGCTCTGAAGCGCTCCATAAATTGTTTCTGTCCGAAAGCCTCTTTAAGCTTCTCTTTAACCGCGGCGTAATCAGATTGCACCGTAGCAGGCAGGCTATCCCATAATAGAAAAGCTGCCCCGCTCAAGCGAGTGGGGAGAATCCGCACCAGATCATCATAGTAATCGCGGCTACAATCCGACGATGCCTTCACCGCCACTTCCAGTTGCCTCACGCAGCAGAGGAAACGTTGGTTCCCGTCTCCATTAAAGGGCGCAGGCAAGTCGATTTTTATGTTCTTTCTGTCGGTAAATCGACTGGGTTCTCCCCGCGTAAACTTAAATGGATCCTCGTCGTCGCCCCACATGTTAGGGATAGTAAGAACAAACTAATAATTAGGCGTAATTATTGGGGATAAAGACGCCGGCACGATTAAAATTGCTTCCAGCCAGAAATCCCACCGCTGCCACCAATGTAGCCGAGTCCCCGGGTTCGAATAAATTTTATATTCACCATTAACTGACACGGAGTCCACTTCAGCTCTCGGACAGTTTTTTCTCCAACTTTATTATTTTACCTTTTCTTACCTACACACCTTTTTCCCCCCGCCCTACGGCAACTCTACTGTGACACACTTCACGAACCCCTTTATAAAACACAGTTTGTTACACTATATTTTACTGTACTTTCTCCCTTTTTAATTGCTTCATACGGTTTGAGTTGCGCGCGTTGACACCCCGAAGGTACGCATCATGTACAGAGAGGCAGTACTTTCATGACGCCATATAGACAGGGGCGTGGTTTTGTTCCGACTGGGTTGGAAAAAAAGACATTCGTGCTGTACAGACGTCGGTCCGGGACGTTACGTGATGACGTATATAGCATGCGTGCTACAAATCGGGTAGCGATAGGCTGAGGCGTGTAAACACTGCAGTTCAGGAATGTCGACTGAAAGCGACGCGGGAGAATACCGTTTGGTGAAACATCCTTCCAGTTTCTCACGTTAGCGTCACGGTAAGGCGTATTTGGGTTTTCATAGCTCTGGCTGCTAATGAAGCTAGCCAATTTTCCGTTTGCCGGTGTTCTGTCGAAAAATACTACCTATCGAGACGTGCTATCGAGCCTTTCTGCGCATAATCAAAAAGCTCATCTCTGCTTTCTGACCGTGTGTCATGATTAAAGATGGCGAAATGGTTGACCACAGAGTAGTCCCGACAGTCATCATTAATAAGACGACTAAAGGGGGAGTTGAGAGCCTCCACAGTGGTGCCAATAACAGCAGTGATGTTCATCTGTAGTTTGTGGTTATCACCAAATTACATTCCCGAAAGAACAACAGCTTTGCATATGTAAAGACAAAAAATGGTTGTGTGCTGCAGAAAATGCATGTGAACTTAAGTTGTACTTGTCTTACTGCTGAGCAAAATCCAGGCTCAGCTATCCATTATCCCTTATCTTTAACTGTCATATGTGATTGTGTGCTTACTATCCTCTACAACCCCAACAAACCTGAAAAGTGGCCTGTTTCATTTGCTGCCCTTGAAGGCAAACCAAGAACTGGCATAGCACGCCACCTGGCTTAGGTCTTCCTTGCATAGCCTGCAGTGCTGCAACTGTCTTCCTAAGTTCAGAAGCTGCTTGGGGTAAAATGAGGTCATTCTTCTGAAGGACACAGCTGACTGAGGCCAGCTCTTGAAACACATCATCCAAGAAATGGCTAAATATATTGATCTCGATTTACAGCATTTCCCTCATGCAAGATTTCAAAAAAACATTTTTTTTTTAATAAAAAATATTAAGTTACTTTTATAGCAACACACAGCAATGTATAGTTTTTCTGAAACTCACCCTCTTTGAATGACATGAATGTCTGCATTGGCTGCAGATATAGCCAGATGTTCCGTGTGGCGGAGGGTGACTGCATACTGGCCACTGTCCCTCGCCGGACACTCGCCTTTTCTAGGGCGAAGGAGCACATTGTGCTCTGTGGACATGAGGAATCCACCTTATTCCCTTTATACTAGGAGTGACGCTCCCCAATCCACGCTGCTCCCCAATTTCCTTCAGCTCACGTTTGGATTTAGGGCTGAAATGGTAGGTCTTCCAAACAAAATGGAGATCATAGATGCGTTTATGTGATCACGGAACCTTCACTGACACTGGTTTAGTAGTAAGAGAGGCTCTTTTGAGCAATGCGAATGCCCCCAGGAATACCAATGCAAGCCATTATGAAATTCTTGCACACACAAACCTGCGTGGCATGAAATGAATGGGGATAACATGCTTTCCCACATCTCTCTTCATTAATGCGATTACTCCGCTATGGACACCCGTGTTTAGGTAACCATCTGCCTCAAATGCAACACACTTGGTTTTCCAGTCAACTATGCCAAGTCCATCAAAAGTAGCATTGATTCCATCTAGGATTCCTGCAATAGCATAAGTTCATATACTGTAAGTTCATTTACACACAAGTTTATAATAAGCAGTTGTCAACATTGTGAGGCAGTAACAGAATTACCAAATTTTATTCACTTACTAGATTAATATTTGATTTTAACAAATTATGCATATGTGACTTTTGTTTTCAACATATTTCCTTCTCATTCCTTTCTTATCCCCTTTATCTGCATTGGGTGTTTTTTTTTGTATCCAATAATGATTCATTAGTTGTATGTAACATTAGCTTACCTTTTTTAAGGGGCGTGTGAAATACCCTGCTGCCTAGCTGGTCTGCCATTTCAGTTTATTTTCTTGCCTGGCTGGTCTGCCATTTCAGTTTATTTTCTTGCCTGGCTGGTCTGCCATTTCAGTTTTTCTTATATATTCAAGTGAAATGGGCTCATAGCCCTGCCTAAGGTGGTGCAGTCTGTCTGAAATGCTCATTTATGTCTTCAACATCCATTTATGTCTTCAGCTGTGTCCAGCCTCCATTCAGGTGGTCCGGTCAGAGCAGGAGCCCTGCTGTGAGATCAGAGCCACATGCCACAGGCCGGGAGAGAAGGTCTGTTTCTGCTCGACCCAGGCTGATGCCAGCTGTGCATTATAAAACACTGATTAACTGGCACTCAATGTCATTTTGATTTCATTGTCAGCTGACATCTTCCAGCAATAAAACCACCTGCAGCACGAACCAGAAACCTTCTGGTGAGAGTGTCGGAGAGGTTAAAAAAAGAGGAGCCGGAATACCTGATGTCTGAGGGTGTGGGGACCACGAAGGACAGCACCCCCGAGGTAAAATGAAAGGCCAGTGGGTCTCTTCATCATTAGACCACTCTAAGGCATTAATGTCGGGAAGTGACTGAGGAGAAGCTGGCTGGTTCTCTTCTGTTGAAAAGCACTGATGGGAGTCAAGGTAGGAGAAGCAAGTGTGAAACCTCCAAACCCAGGCAGGTCCAGCTACCAACACATATGACCAAAACTGCAGCTGTTTTGGTACATTTGGTGGTAATAAAGTTTGTGCTTCTAGTTGTCCTTTAAAAGCCATCAATGTTGTGTTACTCTCTGCATTCAGGTATGTCAGAGAGCCTGCAGTTTGAGCAGCACACTGTGAACATGAACAGCCGCAGCTGTGGGCGCAGTCTTCACAACACACCGAAGATGCTGTACACTGAGAGAGTGCAGCCTAAAGATGATGATTACCTCTGTGAGTGGTGTACGGTCGAAGGATGTTCCCCATGATGATAAACCCACATAGTGTCCTCTTTTGTTTGGCTTGTTTGGCAGTGCTTTTCTACTGAGGTTCAGGAACCTGGGGACTCATTTTAAAAACATACAATGTTTTCCCTTCACAAAAGCTGTCTCATTCTCAGTTCTCTGATGGTGCATTTATTGCAGTCTAGAATGGCTGATAAGTAACAATGGCACTATCATTTTTTCTGATAATACCAATATTAAAATTTTGAGCCAATACCAATCTATTTCCCCCCCCCTTTTTATCAGCTACAGCGAACCCCCGCCTTTCGCGGAAGATGCGTTCCAGACCCATCAGCGATAGGTGAAAATCCGTGATATAAATAAAACAAATATGGCAAATATGGTATATTCTTTTCATCCTTCTTGATGTAGTGTACCATTGATTAATTCAAGCCATAATGGCGCGCGACGTCCGCGTAACGCCTTCCTTCCCAAAGCTTATCCAGGAGTTTTACCTTCTCCTGAATGGCGCTTAAGCTCACTGCTACCAGAAGCCTTGGCACATGCAGGACGTTTGGGAGCCATAGTAAACAAAAACAATCGTATCACAAGCAAGGCACACAATGCGCAGAGAACTGTGACGGGTCGGGGGAAAATCTGCGATATTGCGGCGGCGCGATAGCTGAACTGCGATATAGCGGGGGATCACTGTATTAAGCATTAAATGATATCTGTATCAATACATTAAAAAAACTATTGCAAACTTCGCAAAAATGAACAGAAATATTACTCAAATTGCAAATTGTGAAGTCTGTTGACAAATAAATAAATCAATCACCAAAATACCTCTGTATAGCCCAGTATTGCACCATGCACTACAAATGAATGTAAATGTGACTGGGATGCACTTTTCTATCTGATCTCTAGGTGTCGCTTTTTTCTGTTTCCTTTAAAACTTTTATACGACTGCACTGGACCATTCCTGAATGCGCACACTTTTTCAGGCAATGTTTTTGTTATGTTGTTTCTTTATGCAACCCAAAATCATACGAATGTTTCTCAGCTTTTTTGTCTGTCCAAATCCAAAACAGGATGCTGCATTTTATTTTACAATGCGCAATGATCCCATGAAGTATGGAACATGTGGCAGCTAGAGTCAGAAGAGGTCTTGGTAGCTCATGGTACGGCTTTATGCAGCCTGTGACATTCTCATAATTCATTATTGAATCTGGCCAGCAGATCGATCTTTAACAATAATTGATGTTTTATCGATTCCCATGGGGAAATTATCTTTAGCCCTTTACACTGATCAGTTCTGCCAAGTTTCACCATGGCAGACATGTGAAGCAAACAAGGTGTGCATTAATGCAGGTAATGAAATTGAAATGCAATAGTTCCTTCTGCTTCTTTTTTGTTACACAAAAGTGACAGGAGTAATGTAATTTCCAAGTTGGAGCCAGTGCTTGCGCTCAACTAATCAGCAAGTTAATCGTTGTGAACCTCACCCCAGTACTTCTTCATTTAACCAAAAAGTACCCAACCCAGAGTAAAAGGTTCAGGAACTACAACCCAGGAACTACCGTCAGTTCCTGTGGTGGGAACATGTTCCTGTGATGGGACAGGGACTGTAGGGTATTGTATAGTATTTCCCCTGTTACTGTATATAATCCGCATTTCTGTTCTTTCGTCATCAGATTGTGAGGATTGCCAGTCTTCCTTCACTGACCAGTGTGAGGTCCACGGTCCTCCTGTCTTCATCCCTGACTCTCCTGCACTTGTGGGGGTCCCTGGCAGGGCCCTCCTCACTCTGCCTCCTGGTTTAGAGGTTAGGCCATCCAGTATCCCTGGGGCAGGCCAAGGGGTGTTTAACCAGGGGCAGACTGTGCCCAGAGGAGTGCATTTCGGGCCCTATGAAGAAGAAGTCACTGGGAAAGAGGAAGCCATTGACAGCAGCTACTCCTGGGTGGTAAGACTAAGCCTGCAGCAGTGAGGAGGATGTATCTGTAACTGCATGAGGAATTCATGTCTTGCTACTTTATACTTTAGAACCTTGGGGACACGGGTCACATAACTTTATGTATATTTGATGTAGGACTGAACGATTTATTGATTTAAAATCGAAATCACAATTTCAAATTATGTGATTAGCAAATCACAAAGGCTCTGACTTAAGATATGCGTTATACAGCCCATCTGATCCAGGGATTAAAACTTGTGAGAATAGTTTTACAAATTCATGCTGTCCTCCTTATTTGACAGTCATTCTCACCAGTTATAAGTGCTGTGCTCCTTGTGTGTCAGTCATGCTTACCAATCAGAAGTGCCCCAAGGCAACTGCATATTTGCCCGCAAACAACAAACACATGAAACCCAAGGAAAACTTTATATTCGTGGTGCAGAAAAATATTGATTCCACTGCTGAGCTATAAATGAATTGCTTATGGGAGTTTTACTTACACAAAATTGCTCTGAGGGCAGAATGAAAAATGACTGGTTCAGAGAGATCAGATTGTAGAGGAGGTGAGTCCAGGCATCTAGAGGTGAGACCACCCAATCAGATATCTGCAGACAACAGAACACACAGGTAAGGCGAAAGTCCTCATCCATCCCATTTGGCGCCACTGTATTGAGGACTTTTCCTTTACCAATTTTTTGTGATATGTCACATGGTATACATATTATGAATTACTCATGTTATACTCTATATTATGAAGGTAATCAAGTGCGAAACCACTTATTTGGGGTGTGGCGATGCCCATGGCACTTGTGTTATCATTAGCTGTTCGGCAGGGATGTGTCTTCTTAAATTGAGGGTAAATTGTTGCGGGTCAAGATTAAGTGGCATAATTTGGGCACAGTATCCACAAGAAATTATATGACCATTGTCATCATATGATGATGTAAAACATTCATTTTGTTTAGAAACTGTTCTTAGTATTCAGGAGTGAGGTATTCAATAAAAGTTTGTACAGTTACTGTTACTTGTAATTTTTAAGTATGTATATTGTAGCGCTGGCGAGGTGGCTAAGCATAGTGTGGCCCGTTAACGACGCGGCGCTTGGAGATGTGTCAATAACCTCTTGTGGTGTTATTGTAAGTACTTGTTGTGTCCTGATTGTCGTGTGTGCCCTTGCCTTTGTCATGCCTGAATCCTGACGATCCTCTTGTGTCTCTAGCAATTGTATAACTACCCACCGTGTATGTGTCTTACCATCCGCCGTTAAACCTCCCTGCATTTCCCCTGTCAGTGTAGTGGTTGTTATGCATGCGGTTCTTTTAGAGGCTTTATATATTTAAAAAAAAAAAACACACACCAATACAATATGCCATGTCAGCGAAGACCCAAGGTAAGCAAACAAGGGTTGTAGGGAGCAGTTCATATCTTTAAGTTCTCATCCTTGCATTAGAATGTAGACCAGTTAATATTTTGATGGTATCTCATGTGGTAATGCTGCATTATATATTTATATGTTTTAATATATAACACTGTATATTGAACTGAAGCTTGACTTTGAAAAAACTGAATCAGAAATCATTTGCAATATGTGTCAGAAAAATCAAGATTATATGTTTTCCACAAATTCTTCAGCCCTAATTTTAAGGAATATTTGCATATAGCTGGGTTGCCAACTTAGGTCAGTTGACTGGAGTGAGATTTTCAGTTCAAGTTACATGCACACGCATTTATATACATGTAACAGTTTTATTGCTTTGTAAATAGTCTGTAGCGGGGCTGAACAATTTATCAATTTCAAATCAAAATTGCGTTTTGAAACAAAGCGATTAGCAAGTCGCAAAGGCTGCAATTTAGGATATGCAATTGTAGTGAGAATAGTTTTACAAATTCATGCCGTCCTCCTTGTGTGACAGTCATTCTCACCAATCTGAAGTGCCGTGCTCCTCGTGCGTCAGTCATGCTCACCAAAAAGAATTAGACCAAACCAACTAAATATACTCCCACAAACAGCAACCACATGAAACTCAAGGGAAACATTACATTCTCAGTGCAAAGAAATGTTTGATTCCTCTGCTGAGCTATAAGTGAATTCCCTACATATTTCTTGGTCAGAGATTGTTTATGGAAAGGTCCTATTATTCATTGAGTGATTATTATGACAATTCTATGGTTGTGTAAAATAGATCTGCACACTTATAATTGGTACACAAAAAAATGACAGTCAAAATGCTGCTCCATTCACACACCTACAGGACAGGGAGAAATCTAAATACAGGGTTTCCTTCCCTGTTTGTGCACCTGTAATCCCAATTCATAGTTGTATCATGGCTTCTGAAAATACACTATATTGCCAGAAGTATTGGGACACCTGCCTTTACACACACATGAACTTTAATGACATCCATCCCATTCTTAATACACAGGCTTTAATATGGAGTAGGCCCACCCTTTGCAGCTATAACAGCTTCAGCTCTTCTGGGGAGGCTGTCCACAAGGTTTAGGAGTGTGTTTATGGGATTTTTGACCATTCGTCCAGGAGAGCATTTGTGAGGTCAGGCACTGATTTTAAACGAGAAGGTCTGGCTCTCAGTCTCTGCTCTAATTCATCCCAAAGGTGTTCTATCGAGTTGAGGTCAGGGCTCTGTGCAGGCCAGTCAAGTTCCTCCACACCAGACTCGCTCATCCATGTCCTTATGGACCTTGCTTTGTGCACTGGTGTGCTGTCATGTTGGAGCAGGAAGGGGCCCAAACTGTTCCCACAAAGTTGGGAGCATGAAATTGTCCAAAATGGCTTTGAATGCTGCAGCACTAACAGTTCCTTTCACTGGAACTAAGGGGCCAAGCCCAACCCCTGAAAAACATCCCCACACCATAATTCCCCCTCCACCAAACTTTACACTTGGCACAATGCAGTCAGGCACATACCGTTCTCCTGGCAACCGCCAAACCCAGACTCGTCCATCGGATTGCCAGACAGAGAAGTGTGATTCATCACTCCGGAGAAAACGTCCTTGCTGCTGTAGAGTCCAGTGGCGGCGTGCTTTACACTACTTCATCCAACGCTTGGTGATGTACAGCTTGAATGCAGCTGCTTGGCTATGGAAACCCATTCCATGAAGTTATCTATGCACTGTTCTTGAGCTAATTGGAAGGCCACATGAAATTTGCAGGTCTGCAGCTATTAACTCTGCAGATAGTTGGCGACTTCTGCACACTACGCCTCAGCATGTGTTGTCCCCGCTCTGATTTTACATGGCCTACCACTTCCTGGCTGAGTTGCTGTTGTTCCCAATTGCTTCCACTTTGGTATGATATCACTAACAGTTGACCGTGGAATATATATAGTAGTGAGGAAATTTCACAAATGGACTTGCGTAGGTAGCATCCGGTACCACACTTGAATTCACTGAGCTCCTGAGGGTGACCCATTCTTTCACAAATGTTTGTAGAAGCAGTCTGCATGCCCAGGGGCTTGGTTTTCTACACCTATGGCTATGGAAGTGATAGGACAACCTGAATTCAATCATTTGGAGGGGTGTCCCTATACTTTTGGCAATATAGTGTATGTGCAAATCTGTGACTTTGAAAACACAAGGGTGCAAAACTGATTTGCAAACACAAACATTGCTGTGCAGGTGTACAAAACTAAAATACACATGCGCAAAAATCTCTGCACGGGTGTACAAACTGAATTACAAGTATGCAAATCTATTTTACTCAATCATGCAATTCCGTCATAATAATCACTCCATAATTATTAGGGTTAAACGCAGCGTTAGCTGCAGGATCCGTATCTCTCTTTTTCTTACTGGAATTGTTTTATCTTTATTACCATAACACACCTTTCTCTGTTAATTTAACCCTTGTGTATCTAGGACTTTGAGGAAACACTATTACTTTACCAAAGATAAAAATGCGGTTGAATGCTGTTTGCAAATGCACCACTTAACCCACCATGTTCAGGTCGCTAGTGACCCGGCACACTTTGGCAAAGAAATGATCATAAAACAATAAGTACATGTTGGAAACAATTCACATTTTTCTCATCCTTGCATTAGCATATAGACCAGTTAATGTTGTGACTGTATCTCATGTGGTAATGTATTTTAAATCTATTATACACTAAATATTAAACTGAACCTTGACTAAAAAATTACGTGATAGATCAAATCACAATCACAATGTCAGAAAAATCACAATTTAATATTTTCCGCAAATCGTTCAGCCCAAGTCTGTAGGGTTTGCAAACTACCCCAACGCTTTTGATGTAGCTAATTTTAGGTTTTATAATGGAATAATATAGATTTGCCATTAATTTCTTGCATGAGCATGAGTCTGAAAGTGTGAGTGTCATGCCAGATGTGTGACATTTGGCAATCCTGCATATAACTAGGCATTTGAATTATCAGTTGGAAGTTCTGTGCTGGCATAACTCAACTGGGGTGATGTCTAGTACTTTCAGGCCTGTGGTTTCAGGTTTGCAAGAGCAAATGGTGTGAGATGTACGTTGATGCCAGGAGAGAAACCCACTCCAACTGGATGAGGTGAGATGACACCATTAGTGATTCTCCATCCATGTTTCAGTAATGCAGTGGTTCCCAAACTGGGGGGTGCACCAATGGGATAGCCTCAGGGGCATGTGCCACCCTAAAATAATCTCTTCACAGACTGGACGATTAAACAAATAAAGCAGCGCAACATTACATTAACTAACAATAAATAAACCACTAGCTCACATGTACTATTAGAGCATTTATGTAATTTATTTAAACTTTATTTTACCAGGTAAATTAACTGAAAACCAGTTCTCACTGCTTTATGTGATATTCGGGAGAAACAGCAGGTAACACATCGGAACTTCCTGGGATGCAAACATCATACAAACGTCACGTTCTTCAGCCAATAAGGGCAAAGTTGTGTCTAGAGGCTGTTCCAGTTTGTTCAGCCGGCTGAGAGGTGCTGTACGATCTGTCTTAAGTTGTCTTGCTCTTGCAAGGTTTTTGTACCATGTGACATGGTGACGTGTCAGGACGTTTCGCAGTGCCGGACAAAAAATCTAATCATATCATATGAAAAACGAGGTTTAAAATTTTCTACATGAAGTGCAGGGAGACTATCAATTAATGGGTATGATTTAGTGTTGTTTTGTGCTATAGTATAGCCTGAAACCTGCGGTTATCATTAAAAACAAAATGCGGTAATCGTAAGACAAACTTTAATTTGTGTACGCCAATGAATATTAACAGGAATGTTAAATCTGCATTTGCATAATTTCAAACTTATGCTGGACTTTTATTTTTAATTGATTGCTCTTTTTTCTCCCACAGTGGTGAAATTGCACCATTTGTATTTTGTAATTCATTTGTTTCGCTCAGAAAAGGGAATTGTATTTCAAATAAAGTTTGAATCTGAACCTGTGTAGTTTGAATGGGGCGGGGCTCAATAATGTTCCTATCTAGAAAAGGGGGACCCTGCAGAGAAAGTTTGGGAACCACTGCAGTAATGCATACATACACCACGTCTATTCTCTCTCCAACTGATGCACACACACACCCTCTCTGTGTGTCAGATATGTGAACTGTGCCCGTGATGAGGAGGAACAGAACCTGGTGGCCTTCCAGCACAAAGGGGGCATCTTGTATCGCTGCTGCAAGCCAATTGCCCCTGGGCAGGAGCTCCTGGTATGGTATGCAGAAGATTACGCCAAGGACCTGGGCATCACCTTTGACTGTTTGTGGAATAAAAAGTGCTATTCACAAGGTATCTTCGTTTGTCATCATTTGTCTTTTTATTTTGTCTTATTTCTCTTAACCCTGTCCCACCACAGTACTCACTGATTTGTCTCTCTCTTGCCCCCAGCAAGGAGAGCAGATAAATCCACCCAAGGATTCCCTTGTTCTCAGTGTCCCTTCTCCTTCACAGCGGACATTTATCTCCACAGACACATTAAAAGATCTCACCCTGAGGAGTATGTCGGACAGCTGATGTCTGGATCTGTCAACACATCCCAGCATTTCCCATCTTCTGCTGGCCCCAGTGCCTCTCAGCCCAGAACAGACACATTCAGTACCATGAATGAAGCGGGTTCAGGCACTCTGAAGGCTCGACAGGAATCCCAGGCTGAAAAGACACTCGGTGTAAAGAGCAGTCGCAAAAAACACCATCAGACACACACAGGAGAGAGGCCCTACCAGTGTTCCCAGTGTGGGAAGAGATTCAGTGAATTAGGAACTGTAAAGAAACACCAACGGATTCACACAGGGGAGAGGCCCTACCAGTGCTCCCAGTGTGAGAAGAGTTTCAGTGAATTAGGAACCCTAAAGAGACACCAGCGGATTCACACAGGTGAAAAACCCTACCAGTGCTCCCAGTGTGGGAAGAGTTTCAATCATTTAGGAAACCTAAAGACACACCAGCGGATTCACACTGGGGAGAGGCCCTATGAGTGCTCCCAGTGTGGAAAGAAATTCAGTCATTTAGGACCCCTGAAGACACACCAACGGATTCATACAGGGGAGAGGCCCTACCAGTGTTTCCAGTGTGGAAAGAGCTTCAGTGAATTAGGACACCTAAATTCACACCAACGGATTCACACAGGGGAGAAGCCCTACCAGTGCTCCCAATGTGGAATGAACTTCAGGCATTTAGGACCCCTGAAAACACACCAGCGGACTCACACAGGGGTGGGGCCCTACCAGTGCTCCCAGTGTGGGAAGAGCTTTAGTCAGTCAGGACACCTAAAGACACACCAGCGGACTCATACAGGGGAGAAGCCCTACCATTGCTCCCAGTGTTGGAAGAGCTTCAGTAGTTTATCAAACTTAAAGAAACACCAGCGGATTCACACAGGGGAGAGGCCCTACCAGTGTTCCCAGTGTGGGAAAAGTTTCAGTCAGTTGGAAACCCTAAAGAAACATCAGCGGATTCACACGGGAAGGAGGACAGCGCGGTAGCACAGCTGTTAACACTGTTGCCTCACACCGTTAGGAGCAAGGTTTGAGTCTCCACCTCCAGCAACATGTGTGTGGAGTTTGCGTGTTTCCCTGTGTTGTCATGGGGTTTCTTTCAGGTTTTTTGATTTCCCTCCATGCAACACTAAAAAATAATAGTGTTTAAAGTTGCCAGCACTTTCTTCACTCAATAACTGCAAAGTTCCAAATCTCCTCTGGCATTAACCCCAGCAGAGAATCCGGGAGCTTTCTGGAAAGGGCTTCCATAGCCAAGCAGCTGCATGCAAGCTTCACATTGCCAAGCACAATGGCAAGTCTTTGATGGAGTGGTGTAAAGCACGCTGCCACTGGACTCTGGAGCAGTGGAAATGTGTTCTGTAGAGTGATGAATCGCACTTTTCTCTCTCTGGCAGTCTGATGGACAAGTTTGGGTTTGGCAGATGCCAGGAGAATGTTACCTGCCTGACTGCATTGTGCCAGCTGGAAAGTTTGGTGGAGGAGGGATAATGGTATGGGGTTGTTTTTCAGGGATTGGGCTAGGGCCCCTTAGTTCCAGTGAAAAGAAACCCTTAATGCTTCAGCATACCAAGACATTTTGGACAATTCTATGCTTCCAACTTTGTGGGGACAGTTTGGGCAAGATCCTTTTTTGTTCCAGCATTTTTGTGTTGTAAGGGCCATAAAGACATAGTTGGGTGAGTTTGGTGTTGAAGGACTTGAGTGGTTCGCACAGAGCCCTGACCTGAACCCCACCGAACACCTTTGGGATGAACTAGAATGGATATTGCGAGCCAGCCCTTCAGGGCTCTTCTGGATGAATGGGCAAAAATTGCCACAGACATACTCCAAAATGTTGTGGAAAGTCTTCTCAGAACAGTAGCAGCTGTTATAGCTACAAAGGAAAGACCAAATACATATTGATGTCTATGGATTTAGAATGTGATGTCCTGTTCCTGTGGGGGTAATGGTAATGTGTCCCAGTGCTTTTGTCCATATATTGTGCATCATGAGCATGAATTCTGTGAGTGATAATCAAGTCTACTGTGTGATTGTGCACGTGCATTGGTCCCATTACTTGCTAGTAACATCCAACAGAGTCCAGGAGAGAAATCTACAGATATTATAATATTCTCTAAATTAATGATTAAGTCAGTGGGAAGTTCCCCAAATTCAGTTAGGACCGATGTGTATGGTCCAAGTGGTTTCTGTACTATAAGAATGTAGATGGGTGGGTCAGACACCATTTGAAGTAGCATTGCTTCAAATGTCATAAAATCTTTCATGATTTTGAGTTTAATAAAGTTATGTATGGTAACTTGCATGAACATCTCATCCACAAACCAAATCAGTATTTTGTAACAAAACAATAAATGTCATATGCTGTAATTAAGATGAAAACTTACCTAGTCAATTATGTCATTCATACAGGGTGTGTACGGTTACTTCTTCTTTTGAATTTTTTTAAATCAATGTTATATCAAAGTACAATCCCGCCAATCTTGAGCAGTATCTTCATTATACTCAGCGCATGTTGTGAGTATGGAAGACCAACGGGGCAGAAAACCAGATTTTTATTGACATTAACTGTGTTATAATTATTTGTTTATTAATTAATTGTTTATTTGGATTGTCCTGTCCCGTTTCTGTGCACGTCCACCCAGCTGTCTGCCCCGTATCACTTACACCTGCCCCTCATTGATTGTACTTATCACCCTCACCTGTGTTTGATAGTCTCTGATCCATTGTGATGCCCTACATATGTTTATTCTCAGTGTATATATGTGCCCCTCTGTCTTGTGCTTCCCAGTCTAGTCATTGTTACTCTGCTGCTTGTCCTAATCACTCTAATAAAGTTTCCTTTGGAGTTAACCAGCTCTTGGACTGTCTTTAGGGTTTCTTTGTGCCTCCCAGCACTTTCAGGACATGGCATGGATCAGATGTTGGAGCAAAACGCTGGACAGACCTGGTAGACCCAAAAAAACAGTCAGAGTGGGCTGGGAGCATCTGGCAGAGGCCCCTGTCTGGGAGATCTTCAACTCACACCTCTGGCAGAACTTCTCTTGCATCCTGAGGGAGTCATGGGACATTGAGTGTGAATGGGCCATGTTCTGAGCCTCCATTGCTGAGGCAGCTGTGCAGAGCTGTAGCTGTAAAGTTGTCAGTGCCTGTTGTGGTGGCAATTCCCAAATGCAGTGGTGGACGTCAGCAGTAAAGGGAGCTGTCAGGCTGAAGAAGGAGGCCTTTCAAGCTTGGTTAGCTTGTGGGACTCCAGAGGCAGCTGACAGGTACCGGCAGGCCAAGGGAAATGTTGCTTTGGTAGTTGCAGAAGCAAAACTCTGGTTGTGGGAGCAGTTAAGCAAAGCCATGGAAAATGGCTTTTGGTTAGCTTTAAAGATTTTGTGACTCAAGAGAAAGCAGGGCTTTGCCCATGCTGTTTACAGTAGGGGTGGATAACTGTTGCACTCACCTGGGGATAGAGTCGGGCGGTGGAAGGAGTATTTCGAGGACCTCCTGAAAACCCACTGACATGCCTTCCTTGGAGGATGTAGAGTCAGAGGACTCAAAGTATGACTTGCCCATTGCTGGATATTATTCTGGTCTGTCTTAATGCAGAGTGTGGGAGTAAAGAATAAATGAAAGTATAAAAACTAAAATGCATATACGCTTTAAAAATCTGCAGGAATGGAATACCCAGGATGGAACATGATCCCATCTCAGGGCAAACTCACACACAGATGCAGACCTATGAACAATTTGGAATCTCCAATTAACCTGTGAGGAGAAATTGGAGGAACCCATTGATGACACTGGGTGAACACACACATGGAGATGGGGGTGTAGACTTGAGCCCTGATGCTGGAGGTGTGAGGCAACAGTGCTAACCACTGCAATACTGTTTCTTTAGAGTCTGAACTGAAAGTCTACCCATGCTGAGAGCCCTGGCCTGCTGTCAGAAGCAGCACCAGCACCTGCCGGCTATCCGCAATGAGACTGAAATCTCTGGCTTGCTCAGTGGGGGCTTTGGGCAGGGATAATGTAAAGCGTTCTGAGACAATGTAATGCTGAGAAAATAAATGCGCTACACAAATAAAACTGAATTGAATTTACTTAGTAGGGCCTCTCCCCAGTGTGAATCCGCTGGTCTCTATTTAGGTTTCCTAAATGATTGAAACTGGGAACACTGGTAGGGCCTCTCCCCTGTCTGAGTCTGCTGGTGTGCTTTTAGGTGTCCAAAATGGGATGCCCTTTTTCCCATATTTTAAGACCATGTGATCATCCCTTCACCCCCTAGTAAGTAACAAATAAATAATTAAATGAATACTTCATCCTCCATCATTTTATGGTCGTGGAGCAGTCATTCATCTTGAATGCATCTTGAGAAGAAAAAACTTAGAAGAAGAGCTTGTTCCCATCAGCAGCAAAACATCTGCAGATTGTGACCTCTCAGTATCATCTGTTTGGGTTGCTCAGGTCACAACTGACAGATTAGTAGTTAGGGTCATCTGTGAAAATCTACAGCCCTTTACTGTAGTTGAACTCCAACCTTCAATTCAATCCTTTTTTTGTCATGTGTACAAGTATGAGTACCATGTAAAATGAAATACTTGCTTGCATGTGCTCCTGCAGACAGTGAACATAGACAACAAGACAGCTAGAAGTATATGTGCGGGTAGCAGTGGAGGTGACACAAGGTTACTGATTGTTCATGAGTCTGATTGCAGTTGGGTAGAAACTGTTCCTGAACCTGGAGGTCCAAATGGACTTTAGTCGCTTCCCAGATGGGAGGAGGGTGAAAAGTGAGAGTGCAGGGCGGTTGGGGTCCCGCCTGATACAGTTCACTTCCCTGAGACAGCGTGTAGTGTGGATGTCAAGGATCGCAGGGAGCTGTGTGCCCGTGATCTTCTGTGCTGAGGTCACCACTCGCTCCAGAGCTCTGTTGTCCTGAACTGAGCAGTTGCTGTACCAGGATGTGATGCATCCTGTCAGGATGGATTCCACAGTACACCTGTAGAATCTGCACAGGGTTGTGTGGGACATCCAGGCTTTCCTCAGTCTCCTGGGGAAGTAGAGGCGTTGTTGTGCTCTCTTGACTATTGTGTGACTTGACCATTTAAGGTCATCAGTGAGGGTGACTCCGAGGAACCTAAAGCTGCTGACCTGCTCCACAGCCTCACCTCCGATGTAGATGGGGCTGTGCTCTGTTGTCTGTTTGCGGAAATCCATAATCATCTCCTTAGTTTTGTTGACGTTGAGGGAGAGGTTGTTCTCCTGACACCATTCTGCCAGGAGTCTGACCTCCTCCCTGTAGGCCATCTCATCATCCTCGCTGATCAGACCTGTTATGGTGGTATCGTCAGCAAACTTAAGGATGGTGTTGGAGCTGTGCTTAGCTACACAGTCATGGGTGTAGAGAGAGTAAAGCAGGGGGCTCAGCACACTGCCCTGCGGGGTGTCAGTGCTCATGGTGATGACGGAGGAGGTTTTTCCACTAATACGCACTTGCTGTGGTCTGTCAGTGAGGAAATCCAGTACCCAGTTGCACCAGATCCAGGAGTTTAGTGATGAGCTGGGATGGGGTGTTATTCACACAATGCAGCCTAGCAGTTCAGTTATGAATAAACCAACTGTAAAACTGAGGATCCAGGAAGCAGCTGCAAATCTGTAAAAAATCTTTCATAGCTGAGATAGCTAAAATAATCTTCATCAGCACTACAACTGAATGCTGGTAAACAAGATCACATGATTCGCCTATATCTCCAGACCCTTTCCCAGGTTATGCCACCACTGAATCCAGCCATTAATTGATCCAGGCCTACGGCAGCCCACATACACCATCCTTCTGTGTCCCATCCCCGTCCTGTTCATTCCCAGTCCCTTACTCTGTTCCCAAGCCTGCTACCCCATCTGTTTCCTTTTGTTCCCTTCCAGTTCCCCTGTTTCATCCTGGTCCCTGCCTCATGTTACTGGTCCTGCCCCTCAGCTTCCTCATCCTCTTTCCTTCCCTTCTGGTTCCCCTACTCTGTCCTGGTCTGCATCTCAGGTTCCTGCTCCTTTTCCTCACCCTGCTCCCCTTGTTTCCATCCTTTCTGGTTCCCCTACTTTGTCCTGGTCCCCGTCTCAGATACCTGGTCCTTTTCATCAACCTGCTCCCTTTGTTCCCATCCCTTCTGGTTCCCCTACTCCATCATGGTCCCCGTCTCAGATACCTGGTCCTTTTCACTCACCCTGCTGCCTTTGTTTCTATCCCTTCTGGTTCCTCTACTCTGTCCTGGTCCCAGTCTCAGATACCTGGTCCTTTTCTTCATATGCTCCTTTTGTTCCCATTCCTTCTGGTTCCCCTGCTCTGTCCTGGTCCCCGCCTTATGTACTTGGTCCTATCCCTCATTCTCCACATCCTGCCCCTATCTCTTTTGTCCGTGGTACTTTTCCCAATCTGTCTTCTCCTGGTCCTTTCCCCAATACGTCCATCCCCGTTCCTGTCCCTTGGTTCCCACATTCAGTCCCCACTTTGTTTGTTCTCGGTCCCTTGATCTGTTCCCACCCTTGTTTTCTCATCCTGTGGTCCTTTCCCAGATCCTCATATTTATCCTTTCTGTTTTTGTTCCCCTTCTGTTTAATCTCTTGGCTCTGTCTGTTCAGTTCCCCGGTCACTGTAAGTGTTATTTTTCCCCCTCCAGTTTTTTTAGTTGGTTTCTGTTCTGTCCCTCTTGCTGGCCTTGGTGGTACCCTCGCACGCCCTGTGTTTGTGTGTTCAGTGGGGGGTACTGTCAGGATCAGCACCCGCCTGACCCCACCCAACCCCACCCTCTGACCTTTCCCTGTTTAGCCAGTTCTGCCCCCCACCCCCCCACTCTGTCTCTTGCTTTTCAACCCTAGTGTGTTTTCCTTATTCCCCAAACCACCACGTAGCTTAATAGGTTAAGTGAACGACTCAGAGGCTCTGGTTGTGGGTTTTAGGCCGGCCTCATCTGTTTTGTTTGTTTTCTGTTTTTTCACTAGTGTTTGTTATTAGTTATTATCACTTCCCTGTTTTAAGTTAGCGTGCATGTGCTCTGTTTTATTATGTTCTTCTTGTACCTGTTTAGTCCTCTTCCTAGTCTTGGTTTTGTTAGGGTTCCCTTGTCCAACACTCAGTTATTGTAGTTCATTCCACCTGTTTTCTGTTGCCCTGCTTTGCTGTTTGATTGGTTGTTCTTGATTATTCACTCCTGCCCTTTGTTAGTCCTCAGTATCAGTGTATTTAAGTCCCTGCCTTCATTCATTTCCCCAGTCAGTCACTGTGATTTGTTCTGTGAGTGTTTCTCTGCTTGTCTCCCTAGTTCCAGTCTCTGTATTACCTGTTTCCCAGTCTAGGTTTATTGATGGTTCAGTCTGTAGTGTTTTACCCTTATTTCTGACCCCTTGTGGTCTTTGATTTTTTTTTATTTGTTACCAGTGTGCTTGGTTAGTTCTGTTCTTCTGTTTTGGAGCCACTAGTCGATCCTCACTTCTTTCCGTCTACACCATACTCTGAGTTCATAAATTTTGATGAGGCTAAGCTAACAGACTTTGATAGTAATATCATAGTTTTACACTAACATGAAGATCATTTAAACGTTTTCTCTCACTCTTTATAAGTCTTGCACTGTAGTGTGTTATCCCCCTTTCAGATCTAACCTCGATTATATGTCCCCTACACTTCTGTTTAAGAAGTCTTCTGTTTAAGACTCATATCAAAAACACTTTTGAAATATCATACTAAAAATACACAGATTAATGCATAAATAGATACCAGATTTAATTCAAAATTTGTCCCTGGTCTTCTGTAATAACTATGAAAATGCAGTACATTGGATGCTCTTTACCTCCCCCTGTAGGTGCTGGGTGAG